GTTTCTTCATCCATCCGTGTAACCTGGGGCAATCTTCCCTAGGCTTACCTTTGCACAGTTTACTTGTCAAAATTGTCTTACTAAAACGTGTCCAAATGACCTTGGGGTAGACTGGCAAGTGTCGCTACCTCAGGTTACAGGTGAGAATTCACCGTATACCTTCTATATATTTGTAATGAGAAGATTTCAAATTTTTAATATACCTGTCTTCAACCCAGTCCCCCTCTCATCTTGTTTAGTACAGAACGAATTTTGTGAACCAAGAAAACTAAATATACAGCGCAATTAATTCACCTCACAACAAGAAAAGGGTCTATTTTTGTCGGTAAAATTAAGTCAACTAGTATTCTACGGCAAGTAACGCGTTCTGATCTGCCGACTGAATCGATGTTCACATTGGTGAAAACACGAACGTTTCGCCCACAACCAATCGCAAATTAAAAAAAAGAGAGAAAATTTGCAAAGGAACACCAGTAAAGTTTACCTGTAGGAAATAAAAGTCTTACTTATTGGAACTGGCTCTGATAGCTGACGCACGGCCTCACCCCACGTCAACTCTTCGCCACTAGAGAGGCAGGGTAGTAAGTACACGTTTTTAAAGCAAACTTTCTGTACTAAACATGTCGATGGTAAAAGAGAATGGTTTGCTATGGGGTCGCAATGTCTACAAAATCACTACCAAAGTAAATTACCTTTTACGTACATACTACTACACCTAAATTTTCACATGCTCTTCAAATAAAAATTTACATTGCGTAGCAAAGATGTGCCATGAACTAGGCTAACATGAAGAAAAATGACTGTTATAAAAAAACATGGCACCCTTTTACTTCTTGCACAACCTTGAAGTAAAGGAAAGTGATGAGAATGTTCCAAATAACCCAACAGATTGAACTGAAAGGTGCTATGTTTTTTGTTTTTTATATTAAATTTTTCCTTTTTTGAAACGCAATTTGTACTAACATCTTTTCTTAAAGTTCTGATTTTCATATAGTGTGTCTAGACTATGAAGAGGCCAAAACAATAGAGGTAGCTCCCAGATTAGTTGTGGCTTTTAGTCTGAAAATAGAGATCCCAAGATCACTTATCTCAAATATCATGAGAACATCAATGTTACACACTTCACAACAGCATAGCTCATATGTATAAAATGAAGAAAAAGCTTCTTGCATGATGCATTATACCCTAGAAGTGAAGAGTGATCTCAGTTGTAGTAGTCCCTGTCCCATCTTGACTTCTGCATCTTTATGTCTGTTATAAGGCTGTTTGCAAAACAAATTCCCATGATCTGTGACAAAAAACACAATTAAATTACATACTAGAATTTGTTAACCCTCCATCATTCCAAACAAGGTTCTTGGCAGAAGCTGTGAACATGGATGACACATTCTCCCTCACCCAGATCTGTGTTGTGCCTCTTTAATGCACACCACAACTCAATGGAAAGGCAATTTCAAGGGGCTTACCTGCACTAGGGCCAAACCAACTGCAACCCCACCAATTATTATTAAGTTCTCCTTAAACCAGTCTCTGACTGCTGCGATACAGCCTTTGATGTAAATCACTTCAATCCTTTCTGTATCCTGAGGCAAAAAAATAGACCTGTTAGTGTTTTCTTCCTCAGTGATGCAAACCAAACATCACAACATCACATTCAACTGATGTTAAACATTGACATAAACCAGGTTAAGTGTATCATTTTTTCAGCACCTGTTATAGATTAATAAAATAACTGTTAACTAAAGCCTCCTTATCACAAAATCTTGAGACTTCCATTATGGTATGGAGTTTACATGGTTACATGTGACATAAATTAAGTATAACCAAATGTGCATGACTGTTTCAAAAATTAAATTAAAAAATTTCTAGCAAATGTATCAAGACATTGTTAACCAGGGGGCATAATTAATAATAATAATAATAATAATAATAATAATAATAATAATAATAACAATAATAATAGTAGTTTATTAAATTCTCTTGCAGTAACATACTGAATTAACTAGTTATGTTACAATGAAAACTTAATAAGAACGACTATGTACATTTCTGTATACATTAAGTACAAGTTATATACACTACATGGAACATACATCACATTTGTTAAAAATACTTAAAAGTTAAAAAGTCTACGGTGCGCTTCGTTCTACAGGTAGTAACGTTTCTGTAAAGATACAACAGGTCTGATTTGTGCCTGAGGTTATAGGGACGGGTATCGTCTAAGCGTGTTGGTAGAAGAGGATGGAGAGGGTGGTTTAAGTCCTTCATTTTGCACATATACTCTTTACATATCTTATCTCTTCTATACACAAGGGTCTCCACCCATGCTAACTCAAGGGCTTCTGAGTAACTATCGGCACATGGGAAAATTATCTTAAGTGCCCTTTTCTGTATGGATTCACTTTTATCAGACAGATAACCTGGAATGGATTGCCATACTGGTATGGCGTACTCCATAACAGATCTAACAGCGCTTGTATAGACCTTTAACATGCTACCTTGGTCAACGCCGGCTCAACATAGAATATGTAGAGAATAGAGCTTCTTGCAAGCTTTTTCATATATGTAGTTAACTTGTAAGTCGATACACGTTCTATAGTGTTATCACCAATAACTAATGGTCTGAGAGTAAAATTAGGATATGACATAAAGTTAATTAACATATCATTACAGTAGTAGTAGGGTTTAGTCTCATGTTATGGTCCATGGAGAATTTGTGAATGTTAGAAACAATCGTATTGAGCAGACTGATAGGAGTTCCTGGGTAGTATTTCTATGGCAGACGTGTCATCCACAAACTTGACTCTCAGGTGCCAATCAGCTAAAAGATTGTTTGTCATTATAATTGTGAAAAGTATCACTCCTGATTTAGTTCCCTGCGGCACACCTCCCTTGAGGAATTTCCATTCTGATAGTGTTGTACCTATTCTTACAGCTTAATTAACTTAATTTTATAGGTACTTAAAAAACATCATTTAATTTATTTCATGGAACATAAGGTACACTGTATACTTCAATTGTGATCACAGTGAAAATTTTGTATCAGAACAAAGTGCACAGCCTAGTAGTTAATGACAACCTCTCCACAGCTTAGTGGCAGAGAATTGGAACACCACCAGGAGGCTGGAGTTTTAAAAGATCATATTTTCTCCTTTGTCCCAAGTTTATAACAGGTTCATTTACTTCTTTGCCTAACTTTACATGTAGTTAGTAGATTATCCTTCATAAAGCACGATAAACCACAATTATAAGACAATTAACTTACAGTATGTATAGGTTTTCTGATTTTATATCCACACTGTGTGTTTAGGGTATCCTGTAGGAAAATAAGTTCATTGACATAAGTACACTTGAGTGGATACAACAAAAGTCTCTGACCTTGATAAAGATTTGCTGTCCAATGAAGAGCTGGTCAGTGTAGCTGGTTAGATACTTTCAAAAACAATTAAATTTGAGTCATCCAAACACCTTTTAGTACCTATTATAGGGGACTGTTTCCCTGGAGTCAAAATACAGAGAAAATTGTTTCTCAACAGTTACAGTTAATGTTTTACTTTCCATTTGCTTGTGGATTATGTCTGATGTATTTTGAATTTTTTTCCATCACTGAGCTCCTTGTAATTGCTAAACACTTAGTTCACTAACAAGAAAGAAAAACCTCAGTTGATAGGTGCCCCAGTGATTCCCGTAAGCTCTCCCTCAAATAGGTGCAAGGGCACTAAGCCCTAGAATAATGGAAGATAACACTGCTTTTAAATTGATCGCTGACTAAATGCATAAACATCTGAATATGACAGACCTCATGGCAACAAGAAAATGGCACACCACAGGCCTCCGCACCTGGAGAGGAACAGTTAAAATAAATGTTCCTTTGCCAATCATTGTAGGTTTCTCCACCACAGCACTTAAACTGTAATACAGAAAACATAAATTCAAAATATTCAAATCTGCACCAAACAGGTATAAAGTACAAATAAAAGTACAAAGTAATGCTTTTGGTTTTGATAGTTCCTTAACCAGACACCATCATGACTATTTTCTACCTTAGTTGGAAGTAAGAACAAAGAAATTGAAATTTCACACTTAAAACCTCAGGCTGTCCATGAGAAAGTCTTAAAATTCCCACCACAGCATTGAAAAAGGCCTTTAAAACAATTTTTATCACAATTAAATATCTTTCTCCTCAAAAATCATACCACCCTATTCATTTCAGAGGCCAGAAATCAAAAGCTATTGAAGTACAGATTACCCATTTTAAGGAGTAATAACTTATAAATCACTCTTAAAACCTTTTGAATTTACTCTTATGACGTGTGACGTAATACATGCCAGTGGACGCTCAAACTGAAAGGCCAACGATAAAATCAAATGTGACTGTCCAGAATGAGACTAGATTGAGCTTGATTTTGATTGGCAATGTATGTGTAGCTGTTTAACCCTTTGACATCCAAGATCTGATTGTTAATTCTCCCATCTACCAGCTCTACCTTTATTTGTAAATTAGTTAGAAGAACTTAGCATTTGATCAGGATAGCTAATTCTAGCTGATAAGTTTGAGTATTCTCATTACTTGTGTGCTGGACAATGTATCGATGATATAAGGAGAGATTACATATTGGTCACTTTTAAGAGTTGAAGCATGACCTCTTATCTCATAAGTTGGTGGATGATAGTAAAAAGGCAACATTAATATATATTTATTTTGTCCTCAGTTCGTGAGAGGGTGGTATTCTACAAATCTTGCGATCTGATTGGTTTCCAGAGCGGACAGTATTCTCCCTTTTGGCCCGCTCACAGCGGGCGGTATCTTATCTGTTGCATGTTGAGTTGCCTAATACATCCTTAGCTTTGTTGCAAACTTTTATAAATATGTTTTGTTTTACCGGCTGGTCAGCATTTGTAAGCAGAAATTTTGGTCACGACCTTTAGCTGATAAATAACTTATTAAATCTTGATCTCCTCTTTCTCTCTCTCAAATAAGAAAAAAAAATGATCTGGAACCAATTTTTAAAAATCCAGTTTCCAGATGGGATTTGAACCCACGACCCTCCGTGATTTAGTCAGATGCTCTAACAACTAAGCTACAGGAGACTCTATGGTGAGCAAGGGTCAATTAGTGGGTATTGACTGGAACCGCATCACGCAGCTACACAGCCAAACATCAGCTAGCGCATAGAAGCTCACTAACAGCATCACGCTGTCACATTAAAGCATCACATGCATTAAAGCATCACATGCAGCCAACCAGCCTCCAAGGTGAGCATGTAACTCACTTTGGAGGTTGGTTGGCCAAGCCTCGGGTGGTATCCAAGACCTTGGGCACAGTTTTTCCCAATAAGGAGTGATCTAGGATGGTGAATAACAAAATTTTATACCATAAAAGCCCAGAGATAAGCCACACCCACAGATAAGCTGCACCTTGAATTTAGCTGCTCAAATTTTGGAAAAAAAGGTTTTTGAAAGAAATCAAAAGAAATCCAAAGTCGAGTCTTGAGAAGTCTTTTTCATCCAATGTCCATCGAACGTAAACTCAATATTAACACTGCAATGGAAAATACTTCAAAGTCTTACCCACAATTTTAGCACTTTAATACAATGAACATCATTTCTACCAACTTTGACATATGATTGGTCTTTTTGTGGTATTTGTTGGCACGAATTTCTTCATTCGACACAGTTTTTCCATAGATTTTGGCATTATAACAACAACGTGAGCAGAACATTCAAAGCTTAGTAACTAGGCAATAGATCGGACACGAAAATGAAAAACTGGACACCAGCATCGATATTCATGACACCTTTTTCAAATGTTCCCACAGATAAGCCGCAACCCCAGTTTCTAGTGACAATTTTTGGTAAAAAAGTGCGGCTTATACGCAGGCTTTTATGGTATATATTTATTGTTAATCAATAAGAATATTGCATCAAAATTACACAAACCTCTTGTTGAATTCCATCAATAAAACTCTGTAGATCCACATTGTCCCTGTAACTTGTGATAGTTTGATCTATTTTCTCCTTAACTACACCTTCAACCTGAAATTCAACATACAAACTGGCCTTCAGTCACAAAATTATTTCTTAGTTATTGTTTTACTGAACAAGGTGGAATCCTGTAAAGAAACTTGAAGCATCAATTCTCTGGAATAAAATAAACTAACAAAATGAACAGTTAAAATGGCCATCAACACCTCCCCCCCCCCCAAAAAAAAAAAAAAATCTTACCTTATCTTGGAACACAAAGACAAAAATTCCCAGTGATAATTCAAGGAAGAATATGATTGCCAGGACAATTGAAAACTGAAAAGAAAACATACCGATCAGAGGATGAAATTGATGCTATACTACTGTTGAAAGGTACATTTCATGTTCTAAGTTTGAAGTCAATGACCTGAACCACAAATGACTGTTTACATTGGGTGCCAATTGAGAAGAATGGAGCTTAGACTATGAGAGAAGCTGTACAAATCCTATAATTATATTATAAAATCTTAACAGATGACAATAAAAGACAAAAAGTCCTTTAAGTCATGGAAATGTATATTTAGAGCTGTACTAATTCAAATAACTCTGAAATTAAAACTAACAGAAAAGGAACAATTCAATAACAAGAATCTTTAAATTTCTCTCTAGGGTACAAATGGTACATGAATGGTTCACTCAACCTGAGGCACAACTAAACCTATTTGCATAAGTCCACTGTGTAAAAAGTTATAATACACATTGAAGACAACATAAACTTACAAACTTCAGAAGGCAAACATTTTCTCTCAAAGCACCAATGCAGCCTGTGAATCCAAGGATGAACATGATTCCTCCAGTTATGATTAGTGCAAAGGCTGGGTCCATAACAATGTCATTGAAGAAGCCTTGATATTTTGTCTTTTCAAACCGGGCATAGAGGCCAACACCAGTTGTAAGGCCCCCAATCAGCTAGATGCACATGAAAAAGAATTTATGAGAAAACTAATATAAATTATTTGAGCCTACAGTAAGTAGTAATCACCTAATTCACCACTAATAGGGAGGCAGTGTGGCTGAGTGGTTAGAGTGTCAGACTCGTAATCCGCCGCTCCCGGGTTCGAGTCCCCCACCCTAACCACTGGATTTGTTTCACGGTAGCCCCGAGTTCAGATCCTTGGCCACGCTTGTAAATAGCCAACTGGTTTGCCTCCGGCCGGTTGGGGTTCTTAATGATGTTATGTTCAATTTAGACCATTTGTTTCATTTGTTTGCAAGGACCACAATGGAAACTACTGGTTCACCAGTAATTGTGTAATCCTATAAAAAGACTTTTTTTTTTTATTTTTTTTTTAATAGAGCCCTGGAACATAACATCTGAAAGTCTGAGGTCTGATTCTTCATGGAACTCAATTTTTTTCCTTAGTCCAACACTTGCTTTAAGATATAAAACAGTTTTCCCTTAAGTACAGATTTTTATTCTAACTGATAGTGATATTGGTAATACAATAATTTTAATTTTTAGGCAAAATTTAATGTGGCCAATATCCAATATATTTCAAAAGTTTACCGTAAAAGCTTGCCACTCAACAAGTGTTTGACTGTTATTCAAATATTGATCAAATCAACTTCCATATGATAAAAAAAAACTGTATTTCACTCAAAATCTACGTTGATATCTGAAAGGATGTCAAGACAAGATTCTCAGGCAGGCTTCTTGTCCCACTGGGCAATAAATCATGGGATTCTTTAATTATCATAAACAATCCAAGAGCATGCAAAGCACAAAGGATAGATAGAGCTAACCAAAGATTTGAGTATTGAGGGATTTATTATCACCTTAGAAGGAACAAAATGTATGATTCCGTGTACTATAGCCACGAAAAATATTAAGAGGCATGTAATTTCAATTCATCTCTAAATATCACAAGGGACAGGTGAAACTTGTACACACATACATGTCCCGACATAGCCGTAAACAGTACATCATATATAAATAAATTTGATCACTCTCAGATTTTATCACGCTTGCATTAGGAGAGGGTAAAACAAACAAAAAAAACGACTGCTGATATATGGCGAAAAGAGTGAGAAAGTGTTTTAAATTTCAATCATATTTTCTGGAAATAAATATTGTTCGTGCAACAGTTTGTCCTATACGTGACTACGAAAGTATTCGTTTGAACAAAATTAAAATAACATCTTCACAAATAACAATGGTGAACTTTCCGTACCATTATATCATCTCAGGCCAGTTTTACGTTATTTGAGTGAGGTGGGAAATAGTTTCTGACCACACAAAACCGGACATAACTTGATACTTTCGTAATTACGGCATTAGCTTTATGGTTTATGTAGAGCACCGGGTGATTCACATTGATACAGCTCTGTGCCAAATAAATAAAATGACCTAAATGCCGCTCTAATAACTCATGCTGTCATTTTCCTGAAACTAATGAAGCAGGGACAATTCTTAGATAGAACACCATAGAAAACAGGACGACGAAAGAAAACAAAATCAAGCATGGCATATTTGTATTCAATTTCACAAGAGAGCCATGTCGTTTCTGTTGTCAACAATCCCCATAATTATGTGTATATTTCTCGCAAAAACTTACCCAAAAAAACACATTGAAAAAGAAGAGAAGATACTTGACACAACAGCTAACTTCTGTAGTTTCTCTAGCCATCGCTTAAGATGTAAACGTCACAAATGTACAGCATACAGACATAAGGAAATCTGCATTTAGAAAAGTTTTACGTGCACTCTGTGCCAAAATGGAAACAAGTGGCAACCAGTCTCTCCTCGGTAAATGTAGTAGCGCCCGCCCACAGCTGTGATGACTCACCAAATCATTCAGCCAACATTCAACACGTTGCTAAGTGACTTAAAGGCGCTATGAAAATCATTGCCTTAATCTCCCATAATCCAATATTTAAATATCACAATGTCTTTTAAGTTTTTTCAGTGTCACCGGGGTGGTCAAACACGGTTTTCACTCTGGATGAAATATCAGCACCTTTGGGCTGAATTGTTATGTTCGCAGTAGGTTGGGTGAGTGTGAGGAGGGGGGAAGGGAAGTCTGTGGTGTTCTCACCTAATGGGGAGGGAATGCTCTTTCCGGAAGAAATTTAGTTACCTGATGGATTCGAATCTAGAGTTGTATTCCATGGACCAAACGGGTGATTCATGAGGATTACCCGAGAAAAAGTGGCTCGCTCCATTTTGACAAAAAATTTGAGGCTGGTTAGTGTGAATGATTCCTGATTTATCCGTAGCTTTAGATTATCATTTGATCTCGAGATTTCTTTGTAAAAGAGTTGCTTGATATAAACAATTATTTTTCACTTGTTAGCTATAAATATATAAGCCTTCTTTACCCTTCATAAAAGTTAACGTTTAAATGAAAATGGCCAATGGAGCGTTCTCGTAACTGACGACTTAGAACGAAGTTTGTTAGACAGTGAATAAAATTTGTTGAGATATTCGCTCCATAGCTTATTTTACCTTTAACTTACTTTACAGTTGAAAGAAGTATCTCAGCTCCAGATCCAGGTAATTTGATAAAAGGGGCGTGGCACTGTGCCTCTTCCTTTTTCGCTCCATGTCTTTATCGTGTTTCGTAGACTTGTAAATGGCCTATGTCTGAGGTTTTTTATGCATACGTTTGCATGTTCTTAATGTACATATATGAGAGAAAAATAAATATATGGAAGGTAAGTGAATCGAGTTATAGGATAAGAGCTTGGACGACTAGACCTCAATGCGGAGTTGAACTTTTGATTGAACGGTGAGGCATAGAATTTTACACTTGGTCAATCCTTCACTCTTGAGGCTCTTTAGTGAGGGGAGGGGGGGGGTGTAATCCCTTTATACCTTTTAATAATCTTACCAACCAAGAACGAAGTTCCGCGTGACTGAGCCCACGGTTTCGGCCGCTCACCTGTAATCGATGCGCTTACATGTGATCTACTATTCAGCTTTGTTACGCACGATCTTGTTGAACATTTTATTTGCCTTTCCCTTCCTTTACTTTCTTAACAGTTCCGGTAAAAGAACTATGATCTTTCCGGCGAGGAATACTATTAATTAAGCTGCTTGCGTCGGCGGAATACATTAATTATTTGAAAAACGAGCCAAAATAGCCGCCATGACTCATTGGTGTGGAATCGATTGATCACATGGGTAATTTAGTCCAATCATAATGGAGCATTTATCGTTGTCTTTGAGCTGTTGCCCAGCCGCTTGTTTCTTTTACCGTAAATTTACAACAACTCATTCGCATTGACAGGAATTTTAAGCACCAGGTGCTTCTGGACAGAGGGTTTTTTAGCTGTATTTTGCAGTCTTTGATACAATGCACTGGGAGATTTTCATTTGGGGTTGATTCGGCCTTTGTCTGGCAGGTTGCGGTGAGTGTATGTTTTATGCCATATGGTTGTTTCCATTTCGTTTTAGTTATCGAAACTTAATCGCTCAGAGAGGAAGGATTTTGGCTATGATACATACTTAACATACTGAACCTTCTGATTTGTGGCCTAATGAGATTTTGTTCAGAATCGATCCCTGTTTGAAAATATCAGTGTTGTAGGTTAATCGTCGTTTCATAAAAACTTTGGGCACAATTTACATGAAATGGAAATCTATTTACTTACTTACAGAATGATTCCCACATATTTTGGTTATGTGCAGTTGCAGGTGCCTCATTTAAGCGTTACTTTTGCTTTGAACTATTAAAGATAAAGGTGTTAAAAGGTACAACATCATTGTTTTCTTCTCGTTTGAAGGTTATGGCAAAGAGTAATGTTGTTAAAGTAAAATCCTCATTTTCTCATAGTAACCAACTTGCGAATTAAAAGTAAGCAATTATATGCTTATTTCTTTGAACTTCCAAGTGGTCTGTTGGAGTTAATTTTGGTAAACCCGGTATCGCACTCTGATAGATTTAGCTAACTGGTAAGGAAGGAGAAGTTGAAATCACAACATGATCCTAATACTAAAATATTCACTCACTGTGTACACACTCTATTCGAAAATCAGGAGAACCAAGTAAACAGTTTTCGTTCGAGATTTTAACCCGTGCATATCGTTAAGGGATGTTAATTGCTTTTCCATTACGTTTTTCATGCAGATATGTATTTATAGTTAGTCGCTAGGCTCAAAATTAATTCGTTTCTATTTAGAGGTGACATAATGTGAAGTGCTGATCTAAGTATTTGTCTCCAAGAGTTAGTGGCCAGAAAGCACTACAAAGTTGTGCCATCTTCTTTCCTTTTCCTATATAACATGGTTTGCATATGATATCTTTTTCCTTATAAGGTCTTGGAAGGCAAGACTTTTGTTACACTGTACCCATTTAGCCAGCCACTAAGTTGAGAACAACAGATCGTTGAAACAGCAGTTGATGAGTTTTGTCAGAATCTAGCTACCTAACCAATACTGAATTTCTTTTTTAAAAATTTTGTCAGTAGTTAATGTACTTTCATCCACACAGCTTCACTTTAAGCCTATATTTTCAATATGCCACCTTCGGAAAAAGAAAAATCTCTTATTTAAGACTGTGGTGTGAAAAGTCCTGAAACACAGGTGCACAGCAACATCCTTGTCAATCCTTGGCCTCCAAAATATCCTTGAAAGGCCCCTGAATTCTGTCATTATGATGTGGTTTTTTAGAGTACTTGAATTGGCCCCAAAATTTCTCAAACATAATAACCCGTGCTGTATATTGATACTCAGCTACAAGTGTTTTGTTTTTTTGAAAGTTGCATGTTCTTGACTGTTTCAGTGTCAATTATAATTGTTCTATGTCTACTAGGTAGAAAGTGGTAGGTTCAGGAAATAAATTTAGTCAATTGCTGAAATCACTGTTGATTGGCTAGGGAAATAGAAAGTGAGTTTGAGTATGTAGAGTTTAGTATTATACTTCCATGATAAGTAACATTTTTTTGTGCAAAATGGTCACTGACATAACATTCCTTGAGGTTTGAAATAATTGAAGTTTGAATATTGCACCTGGTTCTCACAATTATTTTGTTTACCTTTTGATAGTGACATTGGAATGGCTTTGACATTATCAGGTCCAAAGAGGGTCTCACGGATAAGTGATATCCATAGCAACATTTTAGAAGTGCAATCTTTATTATACTGGTATACAAAATGTCAGGATTAGGTGCTGTTGTAAGATGTGTGATTTCCTATTCTCAAGTACAGAAAGTAGGTTGTGTTTCATGTCTAAGATACTTGCACATGGATCTTTTGCAATCTTTACACTATATATTGTACTACGCTTGTACATTTATTTCTTTAGTGTGATAACATCATATGTCGATTGTATTTTTAGTGCATGATATTGATCAAATGTTGTATGCTACGTGTAGATCAGTATTGCAGGCTGCTTATATATAGAGCTCTCTGTGGGTGAAGTAAGTTAATCAGGCTGTTTAACCTGTTCATTTAGCAAATATTCTGAGGAAGATATTATAATCAATTTCTTCTTCTCGAAAGTTACTTTATAGGTATATATTGTGTGTTTGGTTTTATCTAGGGCTCTTTTCAGGCATGGTGTAAGTGGTTGGTGATCTGATATCTCAAATGCTGATATTGAGTCATGCAGGAAGTTTGAATACTACTTTTTTTGTGCTGTTAAGGACGTTTTGATTTAGTTGATTAAAGGGAACTCTGAAGTACATAGTTAGATATCAATCTCTCTATACTGTCACACAATCTGAGTGTGAAATAACATTATTTTCTTTGTATCTTTGGCTTTGAATTTTATCCAATCACAGTTTTTGAGGAGATTGTTACACGGACATTCCAATTTTCCTTGCCATGTTTTCTGACAATTTTCCACTCTGACCAGCTTTGTTGTAATCTGCATTCATTGTATCTATTTTCCTGATGTGTTACTTAGGGCTTTTGGATGGTTTTACCATTTTGCTCTCTGAAAGAAAGTGTGTCAAAGTGAATACCTCATCCTGTTTAAGAGAAAGTGGAGAACTTTTAATACCCAATGTGAAATATTCATAATGGTTATTGGATTGTTTTGTGAATGAGCAGTTATGTTCTGGTGAATTCTGTTGAAAATGTTATTTTAAATACCTTCATCAGTAATTCTTTTTCTTATGCAATGATTAAGATCTGCAAAGTGAACGGTCACTTACATTTGAATAGTGTCGTTAACACTTGTGATAGTGACACACAGTCCCTGGCTGTAGTATTGTATATTTGTAGAGCACTTCACTTGAAATAACAAAAATATATTACTACTCAGTTAATTTTGCATGTAGGTTGAGGGGCTTGGTTAATTAAATGCACAGTCTGGCAAATTCTTTTCTGCACAGTATGCTACTATGGTTCCTGAGTGCATTTTAATAGTGTCATTAATTTCTGGAAAAGTTCCACAGACTGTTTGTAACAGATTGAGTGAACAGATTGAATAAAGATTCAGTACATACATGATACATTTTACTTAAATAATAAATGTTTTAATTTATATTATTTTTGTAGAGATATGGACGTCTAAAATTATATTTGAGCAGTGCCTCCAGAGGATGAAGGGCAAGAAACTTCAATATTTTATTTTTATATTGAGACTTTTGAGTTTAAGGTAAGTTTCATTGTTTTCTAAATCTGGTATATTTATTATTGTTGCTTTGAATTTTAACCATTGTAATTGCATATGATTAGCAGGATTATGACTCTCTACAGTGATAAGTGTTAATTGTACATACGGCTGTGGTACATTGCAACCATATAGTCATGTAAATTGTGAAAAATAACTCTTGGTGGCTCAGATTCTTATGACAAGGAAAGAGTTTTCCAATATCTCAATAATCTCACTTGATAATTCTACATGTATGTGACACATTAATTAACACAGTGTGTCATTAACTTATTTTTAATACTGGTAAGTCTTTATACACCCTGTATGTGAATGCATCATTCTGTTATTTTGGGTGTTTGACAATGATGACTAGTTCTCCCACTTATTCTGATGAGATTAAGAATAAAATAGTGATGTAACATCACCTCATAAGTCTGAGTTTGACACCCAAAAAATAAGTAACCACTAGGCAATGCTAGGTTATTGGTCAATGGAGATGGAGATGAGAGAAACATAGTTCAAGCACCTGACTTTTTTGTCACTCATCCATCCAAATTGAGTTTCTAGTAAGAACAGACCATGTAATAACTGAACCATAGAACTGATATAGACTGAGATACACTCTGGCAATGCAAGCTGGGAATTAGGGTCTTCAAATATGTGTTTCAGTTTGAAGAGCAAAATCATTTAAACCACCTATGCTTGCAAATCATTACCATCTTTGATATCATATCATTTAATTTGTTGTAAGTAAAGGCTGAAGTGCTTAAAATTTCCAATTGAGGAGGTCTGATGGGTAATTTAAACAAAATCAGCTTTCAGTTTTATTAAATAGCAGAGTGTGAATATTTACAGAAAAAAGATAAATGTGCTCTATTATTTTTTGAATATTCAGTGTCTCAGGTTAGAGTTTTACCATGCCAGCCCTTACAGCAAATTCAGTGACCCTAGATGAAATTCTTGTGGTCCGTGCTGGTCCTCTACGTGAAGAGGAGCTCTGGGCATTGCTCTCTCAGTCTAGTGTAGCATTACAAGATGTGTTCATCAAAGGTAAACTGTTATGTTTTTTCTTTAAGATGGTCTTGAGCAGTGCTTTGCAGAAACACCAGCAGCCATCTATATCACAGCTTTCTAGTTTTTGAAGGGCTTGTACTCAGCTAGAACAAATTAAATCAGCATAAAATATTAATACCTATCTTGATCTGAAGTAAATTTTAACCTTTGTGTAATTTTGGTTCTTATGCAAAAAGATTGACTTAAACTGTCAAGAAAACAATAAGTTTAAAGGAAAGGGAATAGATTCTAGCTGAACAAATGCTTTACATGTCTGAACAGAAATCTCTCAAGAAGGAACCTTCCCCACACTCAGTTGTTAGTGATGAGGTAAAACAGGATTGCTGTGTTTGTTTAATTTCCAGGTAAAGCAAGAAGGAAGGGCCTTCTCACCTATACAATCACACCTGAAAGTTTACTTCTCTGTCATGATGGCAAAGTCAAGTTTTCACTACACATAGGTAATGTTCAAGCCATTAAAGGGTGTTTCAGAAATTATTGAGGACTTTCAATAAATATTCTAGGCAAGATTTTGAAACACAAAACAAGGGACTTTCTTCACTGTCAATTTTCCACAGATCCGAAGCTTCTTACCTCTTTTCTTTTTAATGGTGTAGAAATAATGTTTTTCAATAATTTCTAAACACTGTATTTACAAGTGGCTATGTTTGTTATGATTTGTGTTTCAGTTTCATCAAATAATCGCTCATATACAGCACCAGAAATGTACTCAAAACAGGGCAAACCTATGGGAAGTGAGGGAACTCTGGAAAAGGTAGGGTGATATCAAATTTTGTTAGTAGTTACATGTCAAGTAAATTTTTCTTGTTCAAGGATTTTGTTTTTCTTTTGGCTTGTTCAATAAGGATTTGCTGATGTAGTTGAATTCTATGATCATGGATGGAAAGGTTTCTGTTTCCAAAATATTGCTGAACTAAAGTAGACAACAGTGTTTGTTATTTTTTATTGTCAACAGATGTGTATTTATTCACTGGGAATGACACTCTATCATGCTGCTGAGTATGAGATTCCAGTAGGAAAGGTGAGAAACACTTACAGTAACCCATGTAGAGGTGACGAAGCTGTAGCCTCTCCCCACAATACCAGTACATTTTCCAACAAACAGGTGATGAGATTGGAGAAACTTAACAGAAGGAGGGAATTATCCTGATTAAATAGTAAAATATCTGGCCAGTATAGACTTTACAGTAGCTGCAAGGCTAAGCTACAGGTATGAAATCAGATGATTGGGATCAAAGGGTCAACATAAATTTGTAGCCAGTGTCACAAGCTCATCCTTGGTACTATGAGTGAAATTCTATATACTGACTCCCTAATGGTTGTGTTAAAAAGGGTGTCTTTATTGTAAGCAGTGAGAACAAGAAAATTTAAGTGGTCATGGAACAAAAAATACCCTTTTCTGCATTGACAATCAATTCTAAGTAAAATTGAATTGGAATTTTTCACAGATTGATTACATGTAGTAATCAACTGTTTTCTTTTTTCCTTAGATGAATATCAGTTTAGTTCTCATCAGATGCTTTTGATTTTGTCCACAGCCTGTAAATTTGAGTGAGACTTTAGAGAATGTTCTTCTTTCTATGTGTGAAGAGAGTTCTCAGTTACGAATTTCTCTAGTAAAAGTTATAGAAGTAAGTAGCGATCTTGAGTTCTTTTGGTGTTACAAACATTGTATGGAAATTAATGCTGTTGAATTTCCAAGTATTGAGAATCATGTTTCTCTAAAACTTATGTTTCCTTAATGTTCTTTTATATATTATTTTTACAGGTTTGTCATGCACATCGTAAAAGACATCACTTTAATGACCTCGTTGCATCTATGGTAGCAGCTGTTTTAGGTGATGAAGTACCTGATGTAAGTATACTTTCATTTGTGCTTCCAACAACAAAACAAAATTGTGAACTGGGCTACATTAGATTGCACACCCAGGCTCTTGACTCTCTAGACCTGGTGCATACAGAAAAAGAAAACAAAAAGAGCTAGAAAGATCTCTTTGGGCCCTGTGGAGTCAAAGGGAACCTAATGGGGGGATGGTGGTGGGGTGGGGGGGAGGTCTAAGAATTAAATGTTCTTGAATATTTGTATGCTGGAAGAATGGGGAGCTAAACAAACAAACAAACAAACAAACAGGGCAAATTGTTGATTGACAATGATGATAAAGGTTGGTGCAGTGATTGATTTTTTGTTTTGTTTTGTTTATATTTAATTCATAACTTACTCTGGAAATTATGCATAATTATGTAGCTCTGCTGCATCCTTGGTCATACAAGCAGTTTTTTAATAAATCATTCTCTTTCAGGGCTGCAAATAACGGCCGGTCAACGGACAATGTCTGGTCAAAATTGGGTACTGACCGGACAAATCCTTGGTTTGCCGGACATCTTGTCCGGTCCTTTACCTACTCGTTCAAAGAATTAATAAAAATAATCAAACAATTAATTTTTAACTGTTTGCTAATCACAAGGGACACAGTCATGTTTCCAAAAGAAAGAAAAAAACAATACAAAAGTAGACAAATTAGTGGTCAAGAAATTCCCGGCAGTCGCAAATTTCCGCGATGTCATCAAGTCCTGTCGCAACCGCAAATCATCGTGTCTTCCGTTATTTTATTTACTTTATTTTAAGTGTTCCCAGTTAGTAGACAGTTAAAAATTAATTGTTTTCTCTTAAATAAAAGCTACAAAAGGTTGCAGCTTGAAAGTTTTGTAACGTTGCTAGGAAACGAGGCTACTCTTGCCCCAGGACCAAAGGAAGGGAGCGGGAAAATCGGGTCGGCCATCTTGAGTTGATGTAGTGTCGCCATCGCTAATTGTATTAAAGGAGGTTTATTAAACGTTACAGTTTTAAGACCAGGATGAAGTCTTCATAGATAAATGAAATTTGTATTTAAAAGGAGTATAATTCTCTATACTGATAGGATAATTGCATAGATGAATCAGACATACTGTTAGTCAAATAATTAACAAGCTTTTAGCTGTTATGTTTAGGTAAAACCATACTTCTATTTATTTACTCCAGTGTATTTCTTTCTACAAGATATAAAGATTAAATTTTAAAATATATACTTGTACCAATAAACATATTTCCTTCAGAACTTTGTTTCAGATTACATTCAGGGTTGTAATTCTTTTGCTATATGAAAGTTTCGTGACAAGGTCTTACCAAACATTAGCAAGTCTTGCTGTTACCTAA